TGGCCTCCCCAGGACCCTGCCCCCCCTGCCGCGCTCGCTTGCCCCGCCGTGCCTTCCTTGCGTCGAGGGGCGGCAGCGTGCTGCTCCTCACTCCTCCGAGTTTCCTCCGACCACTGCTCCTCTGCAGACTCTCCACATGGATGTGTGGGGCCCGCCCCCCATCGGTGGAACAGACCGCGAGCACTACTTCCTGCTGGTTGTTGACGACTACACACGCTACACCACTGTCTTCCCCTTGCGGCGCAAGGCGGACGTCAGCGGTGTCCTGATCCCCTGGATCCGTGCCACTCGTCTCCAGCTGCACGAGCGGTTTGAGCAGGACTTCCCAGTCCCGCGTCTGCACTCTGACAGGGGCGGTGAGTTCTCCTCTGACCTCCTTGCGGGGTTCTGTCGAGACGAGGGCATCCGCCAGACGTTCACGCTTCCGGCCTCTCCGCAGCAGAATGGGATTACTGAGCGTCGCATTGGCTTGATCATGGAGGTTGCTCGCACCTCCATGATCCATGCGGCCGCTCCCCATTTTCTGTGGCCGTTTGCGGTCCGATACGCTGCGCATCAGCTCAACCTCTGGCCTCGTGTCTCTGTGCCAGAGACCTCGCCCACCCTCCGGTGGACGGGGAAGGCTGGTGATGCGTCAGTGTTTCGGGTCTGGGGCGCGCTCTCCCTTGTTCGCAATGCCAAAGCAAGCAAGCTCTCCTCTCGCACTCTCCGCTGCGTCTTCCTTGGCTTCCCCACTGACGCCTCGCCGTGGCAGTTCTACCACCCGCCCTCGCGTCGAGTCTTCGCCTCCCAGGACGTCACTTTTGACGAGTCTGTCTGCTTCTACCAGCTGCACCCGCACGTGTCCCACCCGGTCCCCCTTGCACGCCTCTTCCTGGTACCAGTCCCCCCCCCGGTAGACCCCCTCCCCCCACAGGGTCCTGCTCCCTCAGGTGTGTCTCAGGTCGACCCACCCCCCTTGGATGAGCCAGTGGAGATCTCTTCTGACTCCTCTGGCCCAGCTGAGGGGGGTGACCCAGTTGCGGACGACACGGCGGCCACTCGCTGCTCTCCACGCTTGGAGACCCCCTCGGGTTTTCCGCCTCGACCGTCTTCGCCGCATCCGCAGCCTGCTGCTGTGGACTGTGGAGCTGAGACTACAGGTGCTGAGACTGGGGGTGCTGAGACAGAGGGTGAGGGTTTTGGGGGTGCTGTGCCTGGGGGTGCTGGTTCTGGGGGTGCTGCGACTGGGGGTGCTGGTTTTGGGGGTGTTGCGACTGGGGGTGCTGACTCTTGGGGTGCTGCGAGGTGCTGGGAGTGCTGGTGGAGCTGCTAGTGCTGGAGGTACGGGAGCTGCTGGTGCTCTTCGCCACCTTCTCAGTCTTCCGCCAGGTGCTACTGAGTTCCCTGTGGCAGGTACTACTCCTCCGTTACTGTTTCCACCGGCAGACCAGTCACAGCCGCAGCTGCTACCGCTCTCCCCACTGCCTGCTCCTGCTCCCTACACTGCGGTGACACAGTCCCTGACTTAGCGTCGAGAGCCTGAGACTCGTGCTTCCACCCCTGAGCGTCGAGAGCCTGAGTCCAGCTTTGACCTTGAGCTCGAGCCTAGAGCTGCTGTCCGTACTCGTGTTCCTCGTGTTCGTCGTCAGTGTGCTCCGGTTGTCCCAGGGACTCACGATATGACACTCCGTCCTTCCTCTGTTCCACAGCGTGTTGTCCTGCCGTTACCTCCTGCGTCCTCTCTTCCTGACGTTGCTGACCCTCCGTCTGACCTTGCTCGTGCGTCCAGTCCGACTGTTACTCGCTTTCTTGCTACGGTGGTGACTGACCCTTCGTTCTCGTCTCCTGCTGCGTCTGCCTTAGTCGCTGAGCTCGTTGACTTTGCTGCTGTGTACCGCCTAGACTACCTTGCGAGTCTTGTTTCTGACCCTGTCCCTGCCTGTCCTCCGTCCGTCGGGGGTGAGACTGCCCTTGGCTGTACTGCCCTTGGCTGTGACGTTCTTGAGGACAGACAGGAGGAGCTGGAGTGCCTTGCGGCCGCTGCACCCCATCTCGCGACCATGCTGCTTGCCCCTGAGGGAGACCCGGATGCAATTGACATCCCCGCCACGGGCTCTTACAGAGAGGCGATTTCGGGTGAGTACTCCTCTCAATGGAAGACAGCCATGGACGCAGAGATGGCTTCCTGGAAGTCCACAGGCACCTACGTCGACGAGGTGCCCCCACCTGGGGCGAACATCGTCAGTGGCATGTGGATTTTCAAGGTGAAGCGGCCGCAGGGCTCTCCGCCTGCCTTCAAGGCACGTTACGTTGCTCGAGGTTTTAGTCAGCGTGCGGGGGTCGACTTCTTTCAGACCTTCTCCCCCACCCCAAAGATGACCACTCTTCGGGTGTTGCTACACGTTGCAGCTCAGCGTGACTACGAGCTGCACTCCCTCGACTTCTCGACAACTTTCTTGCAGGGTAGCCTTCACGAGGCTATCTGGTTGCGCCGTCCAGAGGGCTTCATTGGGTCGTTTCCTGAGGGTACCCAGTGGAGCCTACGGCGACCAGTGTACGGCCTGCGTCAGGCGCCCCGCGAGTGGCACGACACACTGAGGACGACACTTGCGGCTCTTGGGTATGCTCCTTCGACTGCTAACCCGTCGCTGTTTCTACGCACCGACACTACTCTGCCGGCGTTCTACATCCTCGTGTACGTCGACGACTTGGTTTTTGCTACTGCTGACACTGAGGCACTGGCCCTAGTGAAGGCCGAGCTGCAGGAGAGACACACCTGCACTGACCTGGGTGAGCTGCGGAGCTATCTTGGCTTGCAGATCACCCGGGACAGAGCACGGCGCACCATCACCCTCACTCAGTCACACATGGTGCACCAGGTCCTTCAGCGCTTCGGCTTCACGTGGTCCTCGCCACAGCCCACTCCTCTGTCTACCGGCCACTCGCTCTCAGCTCCACCTTCGGACAATTCCGTAGAGCCGAGTGGTCCGTACGCAGAGCTTGTGGGTTGCCTCATGTACCTGAGGACGTGCACACGACCTGACCTCGCGTACCCTCTCAGCCTCCTGGCTCGCTACGTGGCACCCGGTAGACACCGAAAGGTGCACTTTGATGCTACGAAGAGGGTACTGCGTTACTTGTGCAGTACATCGGGCATGGGGCTCATGCTTGGAGGACGGAGTTCAGTGGTACTTACTGGACACTCTGACGCTTCCTGGGCCGACGACCAGGCGACTCAGCGTTCGTCACAGGGTTACACCTTCAGTCCTGGCGCTGGTTCTGTCTCGTGGAGGTCCACTCGTTTTTCTTCTGTGCTTGATTCCAGCTATGAGGTCGAGATCTACGCTGGGGCCATGGCTGCACAGGAGCTACACTGGCTGACCTACCTGCTGACTGACTTGGGGGAGCGGCCTCGTTCTCCTCCTGTTCTGTACGTCGACAACAAGGCAATGCTTGCCTTGTGTCGCGAGCAGAGACTGGAGCACAGAACGAAGCACATTGCTCTGCGCTACTTTCTTGCGCGTGAGCTGCAGCAGCGTGGTCAGCTGCGCCTTGCTTTCGTGGCCTCTCGGGCCAACACTGCTGATGTCTTCACCAAGGTCCTTGGGTCTGGTGATCATCAGCGTTTCTGCACTGCTCTTGGGCTTGTGCCCACTCTGCCTCACCTGCTGGTTGCTTGACTTGCTCTTGTTGTACACTGCTCTATATCTTTATACCTGCATGTTTACTCTTGCTAGGTTGTGATCGGTGTACTGGCTTGCTATTATAAATCTGCATGTGAACTGGCCTTGTGGCCGCCTGCTTGTGCTCAGAATGAGTGGTGGTCTTGAGATCCACCCTGAGGTTTGTTTTGCTTTGTTCTCTTGCTTGACTGGTCTTGTGACCGTTCGTTGTGTTTGCTATCCCCCACTTTGCCTATGGGGGTGTGTCAAATTACATTTGTATGCTTCTAGGCTGTAGTGGGGCATACTCTAGTGAGTACAACCCTTTAGGGTTTCATACTTGTACTCATCCTGCTGCTCAATGCAATCATTCCTGTCTGCTCATTCTAACAATCACTACTCACCAACACTTCAGGAAGAGCAGCACTCACCCATCGCTGCAACCTCTTTTTGTCTGTCCTGATGTGTGTCAGAGAGGGCAGATTGCTCAACCAGCGCACTCCACCTTCAGTCACTGTAGATCCCATCATATCCAGCTCCTGCAAGGCAGTCAAGAGCCTCACATGCTCCATGCCCTTATTCCCAACCCCAAGTGGCAACACAAGCAGCTTCAGATTGATGAGCGACGACAAGTGCTGCAAGCCGTCACCTCTTGCGGCCGTGACACCCTGGCAGCTATTAAGCTCCAAGCTCTTCAGAGAGAGCCCTGTCAAATGCTGCAGACCAGCGTCTGTAACTTTGGTGCAGCTGAGATAGAGACTTTCCAGGCTGCTCACTGCTCCAATGCCTTCCAGGTGACTGTCAGAAACGGTCGTCCTTCGAAGTGAAAGCCGCTACAGCTGTGGCATCCTGTAGAGGTGCTTCATGCCTGCTGCAGTGAAGCCTGAGGACTTGTCCAGATCGATTGATGTGAGGTGAGTCATGGCAGACACAACTTGGAGGGCAGCGTCTGAAACGCTAGAGAGATTCTTCAGCTGAAGAGAAGTGCGTCTTTCAGTTCTCCCAGTGAGGGCTGACGAAAGCGCCCGCAGAAAGATCTACAGAAAGGGCAAACACGAGCTTATATATTCAGATGCTGAAAATGCAACGCACCAAGAAACACTATGAAGGGTGCTCACATCCAACATGCGAATGTTCCCTTTTCAGCAGTAACTTACATGTAACATGCGAATCTTCCCATCCCAGCAAATACAACTCACATTCAATATGTGTGTGCTTCCCAAATCGCCCCGTACAAGCGACACCAATGCTTCCTCCAGGGCAGATTCAACCTTGAGCACACGACTGGCCTGCTCATTGACCTCCCCCCTCGCTGCTGCCAGCTCCCCCGCTTGCTTTGTAATCAAGTTTCTGTGTTCAGCCAACCCCCCCCCTCGCTGCTGCCAGCTGCTCACGTAGCTCCTTCAGTTGCACGCCCAACTCACCCACTCCCACTAGCCGCCCGAGAGAGATTCCAACAGTTTCGTACATGCTGTGTAGTGTGAACCTGCCATGCTCAAATGCACAAGACAGCAGTCAAGTGCACAGCATACCAATCAAGAAGCCGAGAGAAAACAAGCAGGAGAGAGGAACAAGGTTTTAAGAACCAGCAAACGCATATTATGATAACATCATGCAGAGAATGGTTCGAACGTTACAAATTCTCCAAAGAGGTGGCAGCAAATGAATCAGTGAATAGAAATATAAAAAGGAATGTTTCTAATACGATGTAATAAAGGAAAGAAGCAAAGAAGTTGGGTGAGGCCCTCACCTTGCATCGTCCAGAAGCTCATAAGCCTGTGGTGTGGCGCGGGGAGAGATGGCGAGGGAGCATCGCGGAGGAACAGAGGGCAGGATGAGTAATCAATGCGTTGGGGCAGAGGAGGATGAGAGAGGGGTGGGGACCAGATCAGCAAAAACGAGATAAGAAATTAAAGGTTGAGAAAGTGGGGGAGGAGAGGTACAGAGCTGAGAGACCCAAACAAAATACAGTAGCAGACACCCCTAGGCAAGAAGTCAGGCATACCCATGATGTTATCAGCGCCCACAGCTCGGTCGTCATAGCAACTTTCTGCTTGTGAATCCAGGAGTTGAATTGCGGATACGAGACTCCCATAATCTATAGTAGTCCCACCAGCGCATTCAGCGCAACGTATGCAATGAAGTTGAGGAAACAAGTAAAAACGTTTGTTTTCGTTTGTATTGTTGTTATTACTATATATACCTGTAAAAACACGAGAAATTTTCAGCGACTGACAAAACCAGGTTTTCAAGGGCTTACCAGAGTGCTAAGGAGGTGGAAGGGCGTGGTGAGGGCGTGGGCATGTTGGGAGGAAAAAGGCATTCCGGGGGGCTGAAGCTGAGGAAGGCGGGTGGCATCACGGCACACAGTAGAGTCGTTCACCTCAGAGTGTGCACAACGCATGAATGAATGCATGGTGGGAAAGAAGCATCAGCAGAAGTTTTATAACGGCTGGGCTCGTTCAGGTGGAAAGCCGAGCCTTTTTACTCAGCTAGACATGGTCTCTCTGCGATCGAGTGCAAATGCTCAGCAAGATGGGGAAAATGGAAGAATGCGTGGGTTTACTTGTAAGCATGCACGCAAATGCTTGAGAGTGGATTGGTTACTTACACCAAGGGAGTGCAGGTACGAGTGGAAGTCACTTGCAGGCAGCATGAGAGGATGGTCGGCCTGCAGTCCCCCGGTAACACCTGGCAGCTGCAAGAGTGCACACGGGGAGCACAGGAGCAAGCATGGCAAATGCAGGACACACACAATCAATATATGGAATTATGTGATGTGATGCTGAATTGCGCATGAGGGCAACAACTGACATCACCAGTACAGCTGATAACGCCCATCGTTTGAATTTGTTGTTTTCGCCCATGATGCCAGTAGTATTTCGGTGAAAATGGCTTTGGAATGGGTTGATGAGAAAAGCAGTGGGAGCAGCGAGGACGAGAGGAACCAGCAGAGCACTCACGCTTACCACATGAGCCATGGGGTATGGTAAGCTGGAGACGGACAAGTTGTATGGCTCTGCACGGAGGGAGTGCAGCGAGGGAAGCAGCAGCAGCAGGGAAGAGGGGATGCAGATGGAGCAAGGGGGGAAGGAAGCAACAGCAGGAGCAGCAGCAGCAGGAGTAGAAAGAGATGGGAGGCTGCGTGCACGGGGCAACGAGCATTACTTCAGAAGATTAGAGGATAAAGGTACAGGCATGAGCAACAGGGTGGTGTGAAATGAAGCAGAAGAAACGATCGAGACAATTAAACGGCCAAGGAAGCATGTAAAGGCGCGAGAAACGCCGGATGGCGAGACTAGTTATCGCAAAGATTGGCAGAAGGAGAGGGGTTTGGGAGGATGTGGGGGGGAAGGGGAGGCTTAAAGCTCCGGTATACATTTGAAAGGAGGGGTTCAAAATCTTTTGAAATTTGAAAAGTTGCCCCAAACCTGTGGGGCGCACTTCCTAAACCCTAAACCCTGCCGACAAATGTATACTTCAGCTTTAAGGGCAGCCGGCAGGGCAAGATGGAAGTGTTGGGCACGGGCAGGGCAGCTGATCTGACAACGAGTCACAGAGAGGAACGGGTGACGAAATTAGGCGGTAACGGAGAGGTGAGAGAGGCAAGGGCGATATAGAAGAACAGCGGGACGAACGTGATGATACACGAGGGAATGCGGTCAGAGCAGCAGGGGAGCAGCATGACGCATCTGTTACTCCGGTGCGCAGCGGTGAACGCAGGTGCACGGTGGTGAGAGCAGGTGTGGCGGCGGTGAGAGCAGGTGTGGCGGCGGTGAGAGCATGTGTGGCGGCGGTGGGTGGAGCATCGTTCCTGGAGGGGCGAGTGGCAGCTGCGAGCAAGGTGCTTTGTCCGAGGGCGTCGAACGGGAGAGAGAAACCGAGGAAGGCGAGGGAGAGGCGAGGTTGAGGGGAGGTGACAAGAGTCGAAGGCAGAAGAGAATTGGTCAGGAAGAGAACAGCATGGGGAATAATTTAACATGCGGTTGGAAGCCGCTGGGGTTAAAAGGAGAGTGGCGAGGGAGACACGACGGGCCCGTCTCCCGTTCGGCGTGCGAGGGATGAGGTGGTGCGATGCGTGCGTTGCGGCTCCCACTCGGCGCACCCACGCATCTCCCGCCTTTCACGCACGGCTGCATTGTGGCTCCCGATCCCATCTCGCACGCGGCCTCGAGTCGCCTCCGACTCGGCCACTACCACAATTACGGCATCGCCGGAACAATTATTTCTTAAGGAGGGGATAAAAGGGCGCGATACTACGTGCATCGTGGCGCCAACTCTACGAGAGATATCTCTCGCACACCGCCGCGCCCTTCTCTCACGGCGGCATCGTTTTCTGTTGTTCTGGTTATCATCTCCCACTCGCTGGCAAACGACGGCATGTTGGCGGGTCTATGGTATACTGATCGCAGATAACGCCACTTGGCACAGGTCGTCGCCACTTGGCAGGAGAACGCCAACTTAGAAGAAAACACATCCCCATCTCCCTCTCTCTCTCCCTTTCCGCCGCTCTCCCTCTCTTCCCGCCCCCATCTGTCTCTCTTCCCGCCTCCCCAGATGAGCAATATTAACCATTCGCCCCGTGCCGTGCTCGCACTGCCGTCGCGAGTCGTCTCAGATTCGGCCTAGAATCTTCAGAACAAATCTCCCCCGCGGCCACGTGCCAATGCCTTGTTGACGGTGCTCGCTCCCACAAGCGCAGCGAGCAAAACTGGCGGTGCTGACCCTCCACACTACGAAAAAAACAATGTGTGTTTGAAAGGCGTTCGCGGCTAAAACCAGCCCGATTTGCCAGGCGACGCGGTTTTCTGGCACGCAGCACCATGCGCAATGTGGATTTTAGGGATGAGATTGGGAGGCTTCATTTGGCGTGATAGCTCCTCGAGGTGATGATGAATTTTCCCGCAGCACCGAGTCCCAAACAGCCCAAAAGTGCCTCAACCTTCCTAACTTTGGTTGGGTGTTACCCTGTTGCACGCCAGTCCCACTGAATCACCTGGCCCGGCCGGTTTTCTCAAGTTCGTCAACCGAACCCACTGTAGGCGCAACAATCTCCGTCACCTTGAGCAATCGCACAACAATCAAACCACTGTAGCAGCGACACTCGCACTCACCTGAGTATGTTGTACTATTTCTAGCTCAATGATTTGGTTTAGTCAACTCACGACGTGCTACTTGTTGCTTGCAATAAGCCTTCCCTGAACTCAGCAGGCAATGGGAAAAGGTCGCAGAGTGTGTTTAGCGATGTTTTACAATTGGCCATTGTGTCGTCCAGCAATTGTGGTAACAGTGATGTCACCCAAAAACGGGCGAACCCATTTTCACAATTTCGGGAACCCAGCTACTCGCCATCCAATTGTGATCTTCTTCCCAACCAACCTTACTAACTTTGAAACTCTTGGACCCCGGGTTTTAAAGCTCCAGTATACATTTGTCACCGAGGTTCAGGGTTTTACATTGTGCCTCACAGAAGCAGCACAAAGAGTGCTTCTTTAAACAAGGAAATTTTGTTTGTTTAACTACAAAAAAAACACTATGAGCTGTATAGGGGAATGATGGGAAGGGGGAAGGGGGAAAGGAGGTCACTAAAGCATGACTGTCTTGCATTGGTGGAAGAAAACGCTATTTTGTGGGCAAACTTGGATCACAATACAGATTACTAACATACATCCTAATATATATGATACACCGTACACCCCCCAGGCAATGCACGCCTTCCCCATGAAACACAAAACACACGTCTTTGGCTTTCTAATAGATGCAAGGCACGAATTGACTGCACACTTCAACTACGGAAATCAAACAACTCCCAACGAGCCCACGATCGCCGCCACCAACAATCCCTGCACAGGAGCTGTTACACTTACGGGGGCAGACAGATCTCAACAGCAGGCCCGCCATAGCTGCCCCCAACAGTCCCCGCACTTGAGTCGACTCAAAAGCAAATGCAAGCCAGACACTGGCTGCAAACTTCAATCACGAGGGCAGACAGATCTCAACAACAGGGTCGCCGCTGCTGCCACCGAGAGTCCCCGCACACGGGTCGTTGTACTTCTCATACAGCTTCGTTTTTCCTTTGAAATACCTGTTGACGACACCGCTGCATGGTGCCGCTGCTTTGAAATTCCTTGGTCTTCCCTTGTCGCATTGACCATAAAGACCAACCGAGAGAGCCTCGGTACATATCTTGGGCCAACGAGCCTGCGTATTGCGGATGTAGTGTACACATGTCAGAAAGAAGTGTGAGTCACCCAGAACACTTGAAATGGACAACACATATGTATGATAGAGAATTGTAAAACGGAAGGATTGTAAGGTATGCACCAGGCTGTTATAGAGATGCGTAGCGTCGGCACTGCATGCTCAACAACAAAACAGGAAGGCCGTCTTCCCATTACGAACCAGCAATGCTTCATGTAGTCTCTCTCCTCCAACTCACCCCCAGATTGGCCTCCAACTCACCCCGAGACTGGCAGTTTGTGAGGTGTAGCACACGAGCCCTGGGTTCAACCGGTAGAGCTCAATCATGGAATAGAATCCATAGTCCTTCACCGCCTGCGCACAGCTGCTTGTGCCGCTGACCGAGTATTCTGTATTGCAGAACTCTCCGCTTCCGTCATCCGCCCCATCTTCCCGCTCGATGCAGAGGGAGCGCGACGGGGGCAGGGGTGAGGAGCAGTCAAAGCCGGGGTTGAGGTTCTCGAGGGACATAGAGGAGATGGGGAGTGAGGCTGCCACTGACTCGCATGTGTCGCCCTGCATTGGATCGGGTGGGGGGCGGGTGGGGGGGGTTGTGGGTGGAGGAGGGACAAAAGCAAGTCAGCCCGAAGAGGCCAGGGTTTGATGCCGAGAGGGGCTGCCACTGAGAGAGCCTGAGAGAGGCTGCCACTAAGTTGCATGTGTGGGTTGTGAAGGGAAGGGGGAGGGGGAGGAGTGTGTAGGTGGAGCAGCAGGGAGGTGCAAAGGGTGAAACAAGTAGGCCCGAAATAACATGTGATGCAGAAGAGAAGCAGGTTTGTGAAGAGAAGCAGGTTTGTGGAGAGAAGCAGGTTTGTGGAGAGAAGCAGGTTTGTGGAGAGAAGCAGGTTTGTGGAGAGAAGCAGGTTTGTGGAGAGAAGAAGGTTTGTGGAGAGAAGCAGATTTGTGGAGAGAAGCAGGTTTGTGGAGAGAAGCAGGTTTGTGGAGAGAAGCAGGTTTGTGGAGAGCCTAAAGCAGGGGAAAGAGGCAAAAAGTGAGATTAAGCAACAACAGCATGACACAACAACCGAGACACAAAGACAGCAGCTACAACAGGTAGCACAGAGCATATGACAGGGTGCAAGGGAGGCGAATTACCGGTTGAATGAAGTAAAAGACAGAGCAAGGGGTCAAGCCTTTTCTCTTGGTCACGTTCAGCGTTTGACCCCTGGTGAGGGCAGCACAGCAGTCCACGCCCTGCCAGCCAGCACACACACACACACACACACACACACACATACACACACACACACAGAAGGGTGAACGACTGGTCTTGACGGTCACGAGTACCTCTGATTTCAAAAGAAGATGCATGCACAGGATATATTGGGATGTCCTTTGGTGACTTGGAGTCGACTCAAACGTCACCTCGACGGCCACGAGTGCCTCTCATTGCAAAAGAATTTGGGATGTACTTTAGAACAGGCCCTCACATTGTTCTGTGCAGCGAACTCGTCTCGAGTGAGTCCATAAAGAGGATAAACGTCCTCACACCTCCAGTTGTCCCCTTGCACCTCGAGCGTTGGCAAAGAAGATCCTGTGTAGGTGCAAGGCCAATAACAAAGACCACAAAGACTCTTGCATTCAGGAAATTTGTCGTTTGAGTCGACTCAAAAGTCACCTCCAGTTGTCCCCTTGCACCTCGAGCGTTGGCAAAGAAGATCATGTGCACGCGCAAGGTCAATGGGCGCAAGGTCAATGGGCCCAAGGTCAATGGGCGCAAGGTCAATGGGCGCAAGGTCAATGGGCGCAAGGTCAAGGGGCGCAAGGTCAACGGGCGCAAGGTCAACGGGCGCAAGGTCAATGGGCGCAAGGTCAACGGGCGCAAGGTCAATGGGCGCAAGGTCAATGGGCGCAAGGTCAATGGGCGCAAGGTCAACGGGCGCAAGGTCAACGGGCGCAAGGTCAACGGGCGCAAGGTCAACGGGCGCAAGGTCAACGGGCGCAAGGTCAACGGGCGCAAGGTCAACGGGCGCAAGGTCAACGGGCGCAAGGTCAACGGGCGCAAGGTCAATGGCAAAAGACCACACAGAGCCTTGCATTCAGGGAGCTATGCGGTTTGGAGAACAGATTTAACTCTCACTTGCTCTAATGCAC